CCCCCCCCCAGTCCACTCATGTAGATCATCTCATCCACTTCTCCTTCACAGGGTCATCAATGTGTCCCTCCTAGGGTCTTTCCCTGTTAGCTAGCCTCTTGGTAGTTGTGGGTTGCAGTCTGGCCATCCCTTCTCTCCCATTTATTAACCACTTATGAGTGAGTACATACTATGTTTGTCCTTCTGAGTCTTGGTTACCTCACTTAAGATATTTTCTAGTTCCATCCATTTGCCTGCAAATTTCATAATATCATTGTTTTTTATTGCTGAGTAGTACTCCATTGTGTATATTGCCATATTTTCTTTATCCATTCTTCAGTTGAGGGGCATCTAGGTTGTTTCCAGGTTCTTGCTATTATGAATAATCCTGATACAAACATAGTTGAGCATGTGTCCTTGTGGTAAGATTGAGCATTCCTTGGGTATATGGCCAAGAGTGGTATAACTGGGTCTTGAGGAAGACTTATTCCCAATATTCTGAGAAACCGCTATACTGATTTCCAGAGTGGTTGTACAAGTTTGCATTCCCACCAACAGTGGAGGAGTGTTCCCCTTGCTCCACATCCTCTCCAGCATAAGCTGTCTTCAGTGGTTTTGATCTTAGCCATTCTGACAGGTGTAAGATGGAATCTCAGAGTTGTTTTAATTGCAGCAGAATTTCTTAATGCACAGATTTCTGTGACCTACTCCTGCAATTTCTAATGAGAGGAAGCTCACAATTTAAGACAGATGTGATGGTTCATACCTATAATCCCATAATTTAGGGTTTCAAAGCAGAAAGATTGCCTTGAGTTCAAGGCAAGACTGGGCTATACTGTAAGTTGAGTTCTGGGCCAACCTAGGCTTGAGAGTGAGAAACACAGAAGAATTTGCATGTTTGCATTTGAGCATATTCTCTCATGCTGCTGCTTCATATATGGGAACCAAGGTTTAAGAAGCCAGAGATGGAGAGTCTGGATGTGCTGGTATAGAGAGACCAACCACTTAGGGAGTCATTGCTAATGAAGCTGCAGCAGACTGCTATAATCCTCCTCTCACGTTCCCACTTCAGCAACCACCCCAATCACACCATTCATTCCCTGGGTGGCTCATTTCCATGGTCCCTGTAGCCAGCACCACAGGGTAGGTCCGTTTCTTCTGTTTGCTGTTATTGTACGTTCATCTCCCTTGTTAGGACTTTTATATGATTCAAACTGGGGGATTTTCGAAGGAAACGTTGAATAATGCTGTGGATAATTCCTGCTTTTTGATGCCCTGCTGCTACACAGGAAATGAAAGTAGTCCTCTGGGGAAGCTGCTTTTCAGCTCAAAACTGATGACAGTTTAGAAAGCAGGAACCTGTTTGTCTTGGAATTATTTCTCTCTGATGGCACTACTTAAGTAGGTCATGGGGTGAGTGGTAGCATTAATTCTGATAATTGCATGTTGATTTAAGGATTTTCTTATTAAATAATTAGATTGTGGCTGACCCTTCATAGAAGTTTTGAATTCCTTTAGTTTTTAGCAGCAATTTCAGTATATAGCAACGTTCAAAGTATTCCAAAGCCCACTGGAACATCTTTCCCCAATAAGAAAAGAAGAAAATAGTATATAGTAGTCAGTTGTTATGCCTTTAACAACTGATGAACAAATGATGGCATTCAAAACAATGCATAAGTGGTTTTTCTTATGAAAAAGAAAAAAGGAAGGAAGAAAAGAAAGAAAAAGAAAACTAGGTTCTATAAAATAGAGGCATGGTTATTTTGTATCAGTTTTAGATTTGGCAGGCTACCAAGCGTTAATTTTCTTTTAGCTAGTTGAGAGTAAATGTAATTCCTTCCCTGAGCAACCCTAAAGTAAGCAAGCATGAAAGCATTTTCAGAGTAATCTGGGAGGAATTGACATTTCAAGGAGCTGGTATTACATCTGGACTTGAAGGCTATTAATTTCATAGACAGATTAACTTCATTAGTCCGCCTTATCTTGCATTTGAAAGGCCTCCGTCGGCTGGAGGACTGAACGCCGCGGGTCAGCTGAAACTACTCCTATCCCAGCCATGCTGTAAGTGGAACCTGCTTCTGGAGACCCTGCTGCACAGTGGTGGCCTCATACCAAGAATCCTGCTGAGGAGCTCAAGTGAGTATTTGCAGTTTCAAGAATGTCCCAAGCACAAGACAAAACAAAACAAACAAAAGCAAGCCCAACAACAGCAAAAAAAACAAAAACCAAAAACCAAAAAACAAAAACAAAAACAAAAACCAAACCCAGTCATTGGCAGAGACAAATGGAACTTTTTCCTACTTGAATATTGCGCGAGGGGTGGAACCTGAACACAGGCTGTGAGTACTGGGCAGTCAGTCACTGCAGCGGAGTTTCTGACCTGCCTAACCAACTGATTATCTTTCTAAGCAGTATCAACATCCAGGCTTTGAAATGCCTAAGACAACTGGGAGGAGGCAGTTACATTTCCAAAGCACAAACCTGAATTAGATAATAAATAAGTAGAGAATACATTGGATCAGCTGTTGAAATTCTAGTCTGTCTTGAAGAGTACTTCAGGATAGCAAGCCAGCGGCTGTGGGTTACAGTCATTTCCACTTCAGACAGAGAAGTAAACATCAAGAAAATTATGACTGAAAACTGAGGAGTAAGAAGCCATAATCCTCTTAATTAAAATGTCTTCCCTGCCAATACTGTTTTAGGAAATGGCAAGGAACGCTGTGAGAATGTCCTCCCATGTCCCATCACTCACCTATGCACAGTGTTTTCACCATTTCACATGTTGTGTGGATTCCTCTTTATGTCACACATGAATCCAAATTAGTCAGCTTCCCAGTTCAAACTCATTTTTGTCTAGCTCACCATATGCAGGATCACAGCCAGGTCTTTCTGCCACTCAAACTAGATGAGTTTTCTGACCTTTTGATGTACAACCCTCCCCGACCCCAAGTATTCCCTTACATGTACCACAAACCTACCTAACCCTTTCCAGTTGGGGCCCAAAGCCCCATGTGTGTGTTCCCTCTATACCTGGGCTCTCTGTTTTCTTATCTAGAGACCCCCAAGCCACTCTGCTTCTATCATTATGCAGGAGCCTGGAGTGTTCCAGATGCTTGAACATTCCTCATCCTGGCTTCTTGTTTCTCTGAACTCCAGTGTTCTTTATCCTGGCTTACGATGTTACTTTTATGTGTGAATGAGGAAAATGTCCGTGCATACTACTAGCCTATGGGTATATAAATGAGGCCCACGGCATTCCCTTGTCCAAACTGCTCTGTAGATGTAACCAATCGTCTTATTAAAATAAGAAATACAGAGCCAATGTAAAAGAGAAAGCCGAGAGGTCAGAGCTCAGAGATAAAATCTTACCTCCTGCAGTGCTCCTAGCTTCTCCGAGAGAGAGCTACTT